CTTGTCTTTTGGTGATGAACTGGATTCCTTGCCATTGCAATTGCAGAGGTGTTGTCACATAGAATTGGAGTCCCTTCTACCTGTTCTTCACCAAAATCTTCAAGCACAAATCTGAGCCACTTAGCTTGTGAAGTTGCTTCTGCAGCGCTCACATACTCAGCTTCGGCTGTAGATAAAGCAACTGTGTTTTGCTTGATGGAAGCCCAAGAGAACATGCCTGAGCCTAGTGTGAAGGCATATCCTGAGGTGCTCCTCATATCATCCTCACTCCCAGCCCAGTCACTGTCACAATACCCAATTAGAGTAGCTGTTTTCCCCTTTGCAAACTCAATTCCAAAATCTAATGTGCCTTGTATGTATCTCAGCACCCTTTTAGCAGTTCCCATGTGTTTCTTTGAGGGATTGTGCATAAACCTAGCAAGCAAGCTAGATGCAAACATGACATCTGGTCTTGTGGCAGTCAGATAAAGCAGACTCCCTACAATCTGTCTGAATTCATTTTCATCTGCTGCTTCACTTCCATCTTCTCTACACAATTTCTCATTTACCACTAATGGAATTGCCACTGACTTGCAGTCTCTCATTCCAAACTTCTCAAGAATTTTCATGGCATATTTCTTTTGATGAATGAAAATATGCTTATCAGTTTGTTCCACTCCCATGCCAAGAAAATGGTGCAACATACCCAAGTCTGTCATCTCATAGTGTTGCATCATATCTTGTTTAAACTCTTCAAGCATTTTAGGACAGCTTCCAGTATATATAATGTCATCTACATAGAGTGAGACAATGATAATACCTGAGGTGTCACTTGTTTTGATATAGAGAGTAGCTTCACTTAAGCTCTTCTTAAAACCTGCAGTGTTGAAATAGGCATCTATTTCATCATACCAGGCCCTTGGGGCTTGTTTCAGTCCATATAGAGCCTTGTTCAACCTGTACACCTTGGTTTCCTTGCTCTCTTGAACATATCCTTGAGGTTGTTCAACATAAACTTCCTCCTTTAGAATGCCATTGAGAAAGGCAGACTTCACATCCAGTTGAAATAGGTTCCATTCCTTTTGTGCTGCAAGGGCTATCAAGGTTCTGATGGTGTCAAGTCTTGCCACAGGGGCAAATGTCTCATTATAGTCGATTCCAGGCTTCTGTGAATAGCCTTTAGCCACAAGCCTAGCTTTATTCTTCTGCACAGTACCATCTAGGTTCAGTTTGACCTTGTAGACCCACTTAACACCAATTACTGGTTTGTCAAATGGCCTGTCAACTAATTTCCATGTATTGTTCTTCTTAATCATTTCGAATTCAGCCTCCATTGCACTTATCCATGATTCATCCAAATCTGCTTCTTCAAAGCTGTCAGGTTCTACAATGCACATGTTGCATTGTGTCATGATGTCATTAATACTCCTCCACTTGTGAGGTGTGTGATCAACCCTTTGAGTCTCATCAAGCATTTCTTCCCCTTGAGGTGCAATTTCTTCTTCCATCTGCATTTGAGTATCCAAAAACTGAGATTGTTCATCTAATACCTTCTGTTCAGTTTCTGCAGTACCTTGATTTCCATCTGGCATAGGCATTCTCACATCTGCATTGCTAGGATTCTCCCATGTCCATGAGGCTTCTTCATCAAAATAGACATCCCTAGACAAGATAATCTTTCTAGCCTTAGGATCATACAGTCTATAGCCTTTTTCACACAATCCATAGCCCACAAAAATGCATTTGTGACTGTTTTCTTCCAACTTGTGTCTCAAAACAGAAGGAATAAGCACATGACATAGGCATCCAAACACTTTCAAGTGTGCAATACCTGGCTTTCTTCCTGTGAAGGCCTCAAATGGTGTCATTTTCTTAAGAGACTTAGAAGGACACCTGTTGAGAAGATAGACTGCTGTATGAACAGCTTCTGCCCAAAACTCATATGGAAGTCTCTTTTCATGTAGCATAGACTTTGCCATCTCAATTACAGTCCTGTTCTTCCTCTCAACAACTCCATTTTGTTGAGGGGAATATGCTACAGTCAGCTGCCTTTGTATTCCAGCCTCACTGCAGTATGCAAGAAATTCATTTGACATGAATTCTCCACCTCTGTCACTTCTAAGTGATTTCACCTTGTGTCCACTCTGCAATTCT